TTAGCTATAGATATTTTGTAGATGTTCTTTATCAAGTTGAGGAAGTTCCCTGTTATCCCTAGTTTGCTGAGAATTTTTATCATGAGTTGTTGGACTTTGTCAGCTGCTTTTTCTGAGTTTATTGATAAGATCATGTGATTTTTCTTCTTTAGCTGTTGATGAGATGGATTACATTTATTGATTTTTGAATACTGAGGCAGCATTGCTTACCTGGAATAAATCCCATTTGGTTATGATGTAGAATTCTTTTTTTATATTGTTGGATTTGATTTGCCTAATATTTTGTTAAGGATTTTTGCATCTATGCTCATCTGTAGTTTTTTTTTCCTAATAATATCTTTGGTTTTGGTACTAGGGTAATACTGCTCTCCCGGAATGAAGTATTTTCTGCTTCTGTCTTCTAGATGAGATTGGAGAGAATTGGTATAATTTCTTCCTTAAATGTTTGGTAGAAATTACCATTAGCCTCTCTGTGCCTGATGCTGTCTGTTTTGGAGGGTTATTAATTATTGGTTCAATTTCTTTTATAGATATAGGCCTCTTTAGATTGTCTATTTTTGTGTGTATTTTGACAGATGTGTCTTTCAAGGAATTGATCCCTTTTATCTAGGTTATCAGATTTGTAGGCATAGAGTTCATAATTCTAATGTGTGTTTTTCCAACACCACTGAGCAGTTCTCTAATTCTCAGCGGACACTGACTAGTGTCCCACAAATTTAACTCAATTCTGACACTATCTATCTAACTAGAAATAGTGTCAGATCCCACAGGTGTAGGGTTCAGTCCCACAAGACTGCCCTCACTCTCCACTTCCAATGCCAGTCAAAGTCCGGGATATGTCCTGTGCTTCTTACTGATTGGCTGTAAATTGGAGGTTCCCATGATCCTCTCAATAGTATTGAGCCATTGTAAAAGCCAATTTTGTCCATGAGATCTGTAGTGATATCCCCGCTTTCATTTCTGATATTAGTAGTTTGTTATCTTTTTCTTTCTTTTTTCCTTCTCAACTGTCAATTTTATTGATATTTTCAAAGAACCAACTTTTGGTTGTATTGATTTTTCTTTTAATTGATGTTGGCATGGTTATCTTTCTCCATCTCTTTACTTTTAATGTATATGTGTCTTTATATTTAAAGTGGGCTTCCTGTAGACAACATATAATTGCATTTTGTGTTTTTTTTTCATTGTGGCAATATTTGTATTTAGACCACTAAAATTTAAAGTGATTATTGATATTGTTGGATTAATAGCTACCATATCTGTTACAGTTTTCTTCCTATTTTTTCTTCCACTTTTTTTTTCCTTTCGTGATTTTAATTGAGCGTGGTTTTTTTTTTTTTTAATTTTATTCATTTATTTGTCAGGGGTTACAAGCAGGGGGAGCAGCAGGCTCTCTGCTGAGCAGGGAGCCCGATGCAGACTCGATCCCAGGACACTGGGATCATAACCTGAGCTGAAGGCAGATGCTTAACCGACTGAGCCACTCAGGCATCCCATGGAGCATTTCATATGATTCAGTCTTTTTTCTTTTGTAGCTTATCAATTATACTTCTGTTTTTGTTATTTTTAGTGGTTCCCCTTGAGTTCGCAATGAACATTTAAAAGTAGTCCAAATCCACTCTCAAATAACATTATACCACTTCACTGGTAGTGCGGGCAAGTGAAATGAATAACAAAATATTCCCAGTTCTTTTCTCCCGTTCCTGATACCCTTGCTGTCATTTGTTTCACTTATATGGAAATACACACACCCCTCCTATATCATATTTTTCTTCTCTCTGAAGAGCTTTTTAACATTTTTTTGCAAGGTCAGTTTTTTGGCATTTATTTGGCAACAAATTTCCTTAATGGTTTTTTGTTGAGAAAGGCTTTATTTCTTCTTTCCTTTTGAAGAATAATTTCACAGGGTACATAATAGGTCCGTGCTTATTTTCTCTCAACACTATTTTACTCCATTTCTTCTTTTGTTGCATGCTTTCTGAAATGTCAGATGTAATTCTTATGTTTAGTCCTGTATAGGTAAGGTATTTTTCTTCTGCTGGCTTTTTTTCTTTCTTTTTTTTCTTTATCATTGATTTTTTGCAGTTTGAAAATGGTATACCTAGGTGTAGTTTTTTTTGATACTTATGCTTGGTGTTCTTGGAGTTTCCCGGACCTGTGGTTTGATGTCTTACATCAAGTTAGGGAAATGTTGAGTTGTTTTTGCTTTAAGTATTGTGTTTCTTCTGTGCTATTTCAATTATGTCTATGTTTTACTTTTTGTAGTTTCCCACAGTTCTTGGATAATCTGTTGCAGGATTTTTTTTTTTTTCCCCTTTGCTTTTCAGTTTTGGAAGTTCCTATTGACATATGCTCAAGGCCAGAGATTCTTTAGCCACGTTCTGTCTGCTGATGAGTGCACCACAGGCATTCATTTTTGTTATACTGTTTTTGATTTCTAGTATTTCTTTTTGATTCTTTTTCAGAGTTTCCATTTCTGTGCTTATTTTCTTTATCTGTTCTTGCATGTTGTCTCCTATTTCCATTAAAGCTCTTAGCATATTAATTATAGCTTTTAAAATTCCTGGTATGATAACTCCAACATTCCTGTCATGTGTGAATCTGTTTCTCATGCTTATTCTTCAAACTGTGTTTTTTTGCCTTATAGTGTGGCTTGCTGAAAGCTAGACATGATATAGTAGATAAAAGAAACACCATCCTTAAAAAAAAAAAAAAGGAACACCGTCCTTTAATGAATGACATAATAGTAAGGCCGTTAGGTAAGAAGTGTTCTATAGTCTGGTGATTAGGTCTCAGTCTTTTAAAGTGAGCCTCTGCCCCTAGGGTGTGAATTTCTCACCTGCTTCTCAGTTTTTCCCCCTCTTAGGTGGGAAAAGATGGCTAGATGGGCTGAATTTGGGTATTCCCCTTCTTCCACATGGGAGGCTGGAGCAGGCTGGAGTTGGGAGTTTCCCTTACGCGAGGTGGGTTAATCTCTGGTAACACCCTAGGTGGTTAAAAGAATTAACAAGTGGCCTTGTTAAGAAGAGAATGCGGGCGCCTGGGTGGCTCAGTCGTTGGGCGTCTGCCTTCGGCTCAGGTCATGATCCCAGGGTCTTGGGATCGAGTCCCACATCGGGCTCCTTGCTCAGCGGGAAGCCTGCTTCTCCCTCTCCCACTCCCCCTGCTTGTGTTCCTGCTCTCGCTATCGCTCTCTCTTTCAAATAAATAAATAAAAATCTTTAAAAAAAAAAAAAAAGAAGAGAATGCTCTGATGTATCTCACAATAGTTATTGTCCTCTTCCCCTTGCTGAAAAATAGAAAATTTTCTCGGATATTTACCTTGATATCCTGGGAAAGCTCATGAAAATAAAATTTACAAAAATGTGGGAAATCCCCTATGTCTGGGCCCTTTTGGATTTTAGCTCTCAGAATTGTGTACACTTAGCCTCCAGCAGTTTGTCTGTTACAGGTTAGATCTGTGGTACTGGTTCTTGGTGATATTTTTGCTTATGGGTTTCTGCTCTGTTAAATTGTATTCTGTGTATCCATCTGTCTGTGTCTCTAAATTTGGGGACAGCATTTGGCCTGTGACCTCACTTTTGAGAAAGGATCTCAGAAGAGTTGTTTATTTTTCACTTTACTCAGCTTTTTACTTGTTGGATGGGGTGGTAACTTCCAAGTTCCTTAAATGCTGTACTGGAAACTGGAAGTAATTCCTTATTTTTGGTGCTTCTGTCTCAACTATGCTTTGTGTCTTTCCTCGTCTAGAAAAACTTTGCTTTATCTCCAGAAAGCAAATCTTCACACATTTGCTCAGGTGGGTTGGGGAGAGGTGGTTGCTCTTTGAGTAAGATAGGCAAAGTAGGTACCTACCTACACACTTCGAGCTGCATTAATCCATTCTAAGTCCTCTTTCTTCTCTGCTGTCAGCTGCAGGCATTTCCTTCTGCTACCAGTACTTGACTTTTCTGAGAATTCAGTGGTGTAAAACAGGCTGGTTCTTAAGCCTTTTTGTTACTGCCGGTATATGATGCATCTTTTTTGGGTCTTCTAAGTAGGTACCATATATCTATATTGTTACATAGTTTTTGAGATATTGTTGCTGTTACTGCTTCTCATGTTTTCCTTATCCTGTGTTTGCCTTAAAAAATCTTTTAATTAAGGGAGGGAGCTTAATGAGATGATTGGGCTCCATCTGTGATACCTCTGTTGATGTTCTTAATTTGTTAAGTTTTCATTTAAAGGAAAGTACTCAGAGCTTGGTTTCTTTTGTTCATTTTCTTTCTTCCCCATGTCAGACATGAAAATCAACAAAATCATATAATTAGTTTAATTGCCTGAAACTTCCTGTTAGAGATTTGTGCCTTGTCATGTTTCTTCATTGGCAAGTAAACCTAAGAATTATTTGATAATGAAAGTATTTCTTTATTTTAGTCTTTCCTCATGGGGAAGGGAATAGACCTGTATGTAGGGTTTTGTTTTTTTTTTTTTTTTTAAATAAGTAAGTATCAATGGCCTACTTCTCTTTTTTAAGATTTTATTTATTTATTTATTTGAGAGAGAATGCACGCGGGGGCAGGGGGAGGAGCAGAGGGAGAGGGACAAGCAGACTCTGCACTGAGTGCAGAGTCAGACATGGGGCTCAATCTTAGGACCCTGAGATCAAGACCTGAGCTGAAATCAAGAGTCAGATGCTTAACCAACTGAGCCACCCAGGTGTCCCATCAATGGCTTATTATTTTTTTTCTTTTTAAAATATTTTTTTGTTTTTTATTTTTAAAAATGTTTTTATTTAAATTCAATTTAGTTAACATATAGTGTACTATTAGTTTCAGGGATAGGATTTAGTGATTCATCAGTTGCATATAACACCCAGTGCTCATTACATCATTGCAGATGTACTTGACTATCTCATTAAACAGGCTGCTGGCAGCTATTTTGATTTCTTATCACAATGTGGTCATTTGAATGTGCTTTTTAAAAATAATGTTTCTGCAATTTCTTTTCATAATACACAGAGAAAGCAACGAGTGAGATGAATACTGCTGAGGATTGGGGCCTCATTTTGGATATTTGTGATAAAGTCGGTCAATCTCGAACTGGGTAAGTGTTAAAAGTTTCAGAGGAGCTTTATTTATTCTCTTTATTAACATGAATAAAATGAGAGTTAGAAGGTAAAACATATTACAATTACAATTTAGTTTAAAAAGGGAATTTTTTGCTAGCAAGATTTGAAGAATCATCCCCTTTAAGTTACTCTCTATAACCAATTAGGATAACATGACTGGTAACAATGTTGATATTTTAATTAAAACCTTGTCCATAGTTGCTTCCTGAAGTCTAGCTTTTTCCACTGACTTTTAAAACCATTAGTGATTTCTCAGTTGGTTTCTCAAGTTTCACGGTTATTTTTCAGTTCTTTTCTTCATTGTCGTATCTGCAGTATTCCACCTAACTAATCAGTGACTATAGAAAGAGAGTTTAGGACAGTATAATCTTAAACTTTTTGGCATAAAGCCTTTTTGTTAGTACAGAGCTTTCAGTACAGCAAGTAGATTAACTGGTATACAGATTAATAATTTCCTTAATTCCTAGGCTAATAACATCTGGTTATTAGCCTCATTTACCCCTTTATGCCACAAAAATATTGTCTTATTAATGTACTTTTCCTGTGAAAAATGTTAGAGAACACTGCTGTTTTATATTTGATTCTTTTTTTTTTTTTTTTTTAAGATTTTATTTTTAAGCAACTTCTACATCCAACATGGGGCTCCCAACATGGGGCTTAAACTCATAATCAAGAGTTGCATGCATCACCAGCCAAGTCAGTCAGGCACCCCTATACTTGATTCTTGTGGTGCTAATCTTAACCCTCTGATGATGCTTTCTTTGGCTCTCCTTCCTCTCCTCCTAAATATAGGCAGTTCCTTAAACTTTCTTTGGTCTATTTTTTTCCCCTAATACTTTTTTCTTTTCTAGTACATTTTTTTTTTTTTTTAAATCTTACAACTTCTACATATATGGGTGACATCTGTATTTTCAACTCTGATTTTTCTCACCGTATCATTAGACTTGTGGACACATCATTATTTCTGGACACCATACTGTATAAGCTTTGATCTCACCATGTAGAAACCCGAAGTCATGTCTCTTTTTGCTTTAAACCTGCTTTCCCTCTTTTGTTTCCTGTCTCTGTTAATGACAAGATTATTTCATTTGCACTTAAAACCTCAGTCACCACCACATTAATACTGTTGCTAAATTCTGTCAATTTGCCTCCAAAATATCTCACAGAGTGTTGATATTATAAAGTTTTCTCAGTTAACTTCTTGAACCTGGCCAAACCAGGTGAGGGCAGTTTGTCTTCAAGGTCTTTCTACCCCTTCAATCAAGCCCTTTTCGGCCTGTTACATGCGGCCCTTGTCAGGTTCCCCAAAATATGGCCTCCACATGTGGCCTCACCCATCCCCTTTGCTGTCGTTATATTTTAGTGTACTGAGTCTTTTTCTTTCAGACCCTGTTAGTTCCTTAATTTAATTGGAATTTGAGTAGCTTCTCTGTGCTGTATCTCTATTCCTTTTTCTCTATTTCTGTTGGTCCCACTTTACTTGAGACATTCCTTACCATGCCTGGACTAGTGAATTAACCTTCGGACATTTCTTTCCATTTCTTTTCTGTCCACTTCTTATATCTAGTTTCCCTATAACAACTCTGACCATGTTACTCCCCTACTTTCTGCAGTGAGTTGTCTGACCTCCCTTTAGACATCTGACTCATTTATTTTCCATTTACTCTTAAGTACCATTTTTTTCAACTCAAGCTTTTCAGTTGCCAGTGCTTTTCTACCTTAGTTTAATGCTTTTGGTCCTTGTATTCCTTTAGTGTGAAATATTTTATTCTCCCATTTTCTGTTTCTGTGTCTCATATCTTTCCAGGCCCAATATACATATCATTTTTTCCACAAAGCTTTCTTTATCCCCTTTACAGCAAATCATATTATGGTCCTGTGAATCCTCAAAGCACTCTATCAAAATCATTTTTGTTTGTGTTTTGTTTTGTGTTATGGTAGTTTATGTCTATCTGATAGACTTAGATTTATAGAATGAAAAGGTCCATTAATATTTGTTGTGCAGAGGAAAGAAGCAGATAGCTTAGTGGTTGAGAGTATGGACTTTGGGGTGAGACTGCCTGGGTTCACATCCTAGCTCTGACCACTTTGCTGTGTCACACTGGGTAAGTATCATATCTTCCTCATTTGCTATGTAGGAATAAAAATAGTGTCTTCTTCACAGGGGACTTATTGTCAGTGTGAGATTAATTAACATATATAAAGTGTTTATAGTAGTATCAGGCACATGGTTAAATGCGTGCAACTTAACCTCTTTTTGATTGAAGTTCAATTTTGTGACAATTTGTCTGTTAAGGATTAGGTATCAACCTAATTCCATCCTAGTATATTTTGGAGATAAAACTTTTATCTAGCATTCCAGTTACAAAGTCCTGCCTCTCTTCACCCTGTCAGTTTTCTTTTCATCTTTACATTGGTAAAGATAAATTTGGTATTCATTTTGTAGATACTTTTTATAATAATTTGGTTTGTGATTTCTCTTTAAGAATAATGTTTTATATACATATCCAGTTGTGTTTTCACTTTCTTGTTGTATCTTGATAATTTCATAATAGGAAATGGAAACCTTAGGGCTGTGTTCACTTTCATGGGCCTTCGGCACTTTTACGTTCATGGGTCCTTTTCTCCGTGAAAATTAATAAAACTATTTTACGACTGCATTGTTACAAAGACAACTATATTATTATACATCCAAACATTTTCTTTGCCCCAAAAGTTCATTTTTTCTCTCTTTTCTTTTAAAATAAGTTAAAACGGGCAACCCTCTCGGTTCCCCTTCCTCTTTGGGAGCTTTGTACTATCACTTTACTATCGCTCAATAAACTTTGCTTTGGAAAAAAATAAAATAAAATAAATTAAACATTTTTGTGGGCCCCTAAAACTATTGTGGGCCTTAGGTGTTGTACCTACATGCTTACGGATAAGTGTTACACAATTGTTAGATATTCTCAGATCAGCTTAGTAGTAGAAAATTATGAAGGTGCTTTTCAGGTGAGCAGTAAACTGTGGGATACTTATGGTAGTGTTCATAATATTTCTTTTGTTGGCTTAGTTTTTATTGTGGTAAAATATGTATAACATAAAATTTATGACTTTAAACATTTTGTGGCATGTTTGTGACATTCAGTACATTCACATTGTTGTGGGATTATCACCACTATCCATTTCCAGTACTTTTCATCATCCCTAACTAAAACTCTGCTTACTAGATAACAACTCACCCCCACCCACTCCCCCCCGCCAGCACCTGGTAACCACTTACCATTTGTTTTTAATTTTTAAAATCATTTTGTAATTAGTATATATGGAGAACTTGTGGAGATTTGGTTTATGTTATCTAGGAACCTACATACATATGTTTAGTTATGGGTTGCTGATGGTAGCATAAGAATATTGAACATTACTGTAGGTTGTCTGCGAGGTAGTCTAGGTATCTGGTGTGCTTTAGAGAAGACTGAGAAATGTCATTGGTGTAATAGGGGTGTTCCTGAAGCCATACCCATGTGATGTGTATTTTCCTAAAACAGATTTAAGTAGGGTAGGTTGAAGTAGAGGGAAGTTATGGATTGGAATGTATTTCATACAGTTATTCGTGTACTAGGCAACAGTCTAGATTTTTTAAAAAAGCATTGCCGTTTGGTTTTAATTTAATTTTATAAAATGTACAGATCTATTTAAGAAGGTGGATTTGGGGATTGTGGAGGGAACTTTAGGAAAAGCTTTTCTTTTTCTATAAGTTTTGGTATTTTTATCAAAATGATTTGTCACCATCAGTATATTGTGGAATTATTTAGTGCATAAATAAAATAATTTATATCAAGTCTTTTCCCCCCTGCCCCCCTGGATCCTTTTGGCTTTTTCTTCTTTTTTTTTTTTTTTGTAAGTATCATCTATTTTAGAGTTGTTGTAGTCTGGAAAATATTCTCAAGTTTTGAAGGGAAGAAAAAGAGCCATTATTGTGAAATTTTATTTACTCAGAACTGTGACCCATAAACATGTTTTATTTATTTAGTTGACAGAGAGAGAGACAGCGAGAGAGGGAACACAAGCAGAGGGAGTGGGAGAGGGAAAAGCAGGCTTTCCATGGAGCAGGGAGCCGGATGCAGGGCTCGATCCCAGGACCCCAGGATCATGACCTGAGCCAAAGGCAGACGCCTAACTACTGAGCCACCCAGGCGCCCCTAATTCTTTGTCTTTTAAAAGTTTTATTGTTCTGTTCTTTAAACCATACATACATATTTGTGAGTGTATTTATATTTGTTGATTTCAAGAAATATGCTTATATAAAATACGTACTTTTTTGATTTAAAAATAAATTTATATTTACATGGCTCAAAAATGAAAACAGCTTGAAAAGATGAACGTGGACAAGTCTAACTCCTATCCCTGTTTTTCTCCCCCCGTCCTCTATAGATAACTGCTTTTGTTCCTTTTGTATCTTTCCATTGTTTCTTTATAGAAATACGAATATATTTTCCATTCATATATAATAAGCATATTATATACACGATTCCACATTTGTAATTAGTTAATTCATTAATATATCCTGATAGCCTTAGGAATATGTTTCTTTTGATGTCTGTTAGCCGTGCATTGGTTGTTAAATTGACAAACTTAGAAATCATTTTGTAGTTTAACATGAGTTTTTGATTAGTGGCATGTAGAATATTACCACACTTAAATAATAATTATTAACTAAAATCGTTTAATTAATAATTACAAATAATTATATCAGTCTCAGGAAACCTAGTAGATGTGGTTACTGTTTACTTCCTGTAGGTTAGAGGTTTTTTTTTTTTTAAGCCTGAAATGTTTGAATATGCTGGACTTGAAACTTTAAAGAACATTTTGAAAATTTCTTCTGACTTCCTAGGATATTCACATGACTTTTATTTTATTTTTTTTTATTCACATGACTTTTAGTGTGCAATTCCAGTGTATGAGTAAGTACTGAAAAATGCCTAGCCAATGAGGT